CAATTTCTTCAATTCTTACATTGCTTTCCCAATATAAACCAAAAATCTAGGAATTATTGCAAGGAAACTGGCTTTCAAATGAAAAACCCACATAGAAATCGTTCAAGAGTTATGATGCCACACACAGACACACACAGACAGACATGGACGTCAAATTTATAAACCCACTCTCTTTGCGTCAAAGGTTAAAAATTACTATAAAGTGAAAACTTTGTGAAAGTTCTTAAGGGAACTGAGCAAACGGATGGACTTAGAATTTTAAACAGTCAAAGTTTATATGGAGGAGCACCTATTAACATTAATGAATTAATATGATTTAAATAATTATTACACACACCAGTATACTTGAAACACAAACACACACACACACACACACACACGAGATATGTGGGACCGTGAAGGTTTCTCAATAGTGTATTATTACTAAATGTCAAACATGTCAGTAACTGTCAAACAAAATGACATTTCTACTAAACCAATACTAACCAATTCAACTACGTATTTGGCGTCATCTAACTGTAGTACAAACGTGCACTGGATCTAATCTAAGAGTTATTTAACTACAACTAATACTTTTACTACGCGAATTTTATTAGTTTAAAACTACATACTCCCGACGTTTGTTATTTTGCAGCCACCGTGATCAATTAGTGTTAATTTAAATTTTCTTGCACACCGATTCTAAATTAATATTTTTCATTTTAACTTTCCTCATATCAGTCTTCAAATAATCAGATGTACTAACTTTGTAACAAAAATCACAAACACTGATAGGACCTAAATTAATGTAAGTGCCGACCTGGAGAGCACTTTATTAAATCAATCTTCAATATCGAGTTATAAATTTTGTATGACAGAAGGCGAGAATGTTATAAATCAATTACAGCGAAATGGAATTCCTTGCGTCTACGTCTTTATATCGTAAGAATACCTGTAACTTAATAAGTAGATAGCAAAAAGTAGCACGTATTAAAAGAGTTTATATCTTTGTTGAATTACACGTCGAATACGGCGTTAGTAGTTTTTCATGACTAAAAGAAACGTGGTAAAGAAATTGAGTTTTATATACAGTTAATATATGTATATAAAATACATATATTTGAAAAATCGCTGGATTATTTGTTTAAGTTGAACTTCGACGTACATATTCATGAGGGCGCGGGTTCGAAACCTGGTAAGTACCAATGTGTTTTTAGCGAGTAATATGTACTTTCTAAGACTATTGAAATACCTCTGACAGACGGAGGAGGAAAACATCGTGAGGAAATCTGGACTTGTAATTTCACAATTATAAGTTTAAAATCGCCAACCAGTCTTGAGCGAGCATGATCAATGCTCAAATGTTCTACATGTGAGAAGAGGCCTTTGCTCAGCACTGAGCTCTGATAGGCTGATGATGATGATGTACATGTCCATGATACATATTTGTAGTACATTTTAATGTCGTAGCCAACAGAAAATCTTATAGATAATGATTAAATTAACATACATTCGACATTATTTGTATATTGTACGCTCTAGTTAACATCTGATTGCTCTTAACAATGCCGACGTCAAGCGGCGCGCCGCTACGTCACTTGTGCGTCATCTTTGTAAGTAGGTGATAGAATCCGACGGTTATATTAAAATTCACTTGAAATAATAAAAAAAATATTAGAAAATACTAAAAGAATATCTGTTATTTTATCTTCTACCTGGCAATTTCCCAGCTATAGCCAGGGTCTGCCTTACATGTTGTGAATAGTTTTTGGCTATTTGTTTTTACGACCGGCCGCCTGCCTGACATCAACCCTCTTTTGAGAATCATCATTAATCAGTGATGTCTAAATACTCTTAGAAAGTACATATGATTCGGAAAAATCACATTGGTACTTGCCCGGGCCAGGATCGAACCCGCGCCCTCGACGACGATAGGCGGGCCCTTTAACCACTGAGCCACCACTGACTTTATCTGTATATCTGTTATTTTATATAAAACAATATTTAAAAAGTCCAGTAACACTCCAAGTCTGTTTTGAAAAGAAGACGTTATGTGTTAGTTCGGCGTTTTGTTTGATAAGTGCAAGATTTTAGAACACACACGCATTCACAAATATACAAACATGTCAATTAATATTTAAGCCTATTTGATACCTGCCTATTAATGATATATCAAAATTACAAATTTATAATAAAATATTAATTGAACATAATATTAAAATTAATTGGCGAACTTAATATCACAAAGGTTGATAAAATTAAATTTAACGTAGAATATTCCGATAAAACGTTTTAAATATAAACTGTGCCAGATTTAATATATATATGTTTTCTCTATAATATATATAATATATTTCTATTTCAATGAAAATTATAACTTAATTATAAAAAAAAGTAAAATACGAATTTGATAATTTATATACGACAAAATATAATATGTAGGTTACCTATAAAAAGAATGCCAATAAGAATTTATTATAATAAAATATAAATTTGAAATTAATTGTATTACATATTAAGTAAAGTACATATATGTACTAAAATCATAACCACATATACTCTATCACACATATATAGACGAATATTTTCATAATAATACAAGATATAGAATACCTATGTTAAGAAAAAATTAAGGATCTTAATTATTATGAATGAAAATATTTTTATAGAATTCGAATTAAAATTCCATGAATATTTTTCCTATTAATTGGTGCTTAGCCTTAATAGCCAAACTAATTAAACACGTCTCCAAATATTTTGGAAATTCGACGCTCATTCGAAGAAGATAATTCAGATTTTCTATGAGAGTGAAATTCATTGATGAAACACAATGGAAACGTCTTGGAGATCATCAATATCAATCGGAACTGTATTAAAGAAAAGGCTGTTAGAATTATATATATCGGCGCTACCAGCTTCAATAACGGATGCGACTTGAAAATAATTTGAGGCTGTCATCAATTCTTATTAAACCTCATTAGTATTTATAATTATTGTTAAAAGTAAAACGAAATCAAAGGTTGCTTAAAAGGAGAATAGAACTATGTTTAAATCTTGGGATAAATATGACGTCTGGACGCACGACGGCAGAATGAAGAGTTCAGTGAGTGCGTAAAATTGAAGTATGTTATTATGAAGAACCTTCGAGAAATACAGGAGCATTAAGAACAATTGAAGTTTCATTTTAAAATATCATGGAACGTTCTAGAAGTAAATATGTGACGTCAGCGAGGCTGGCGTCCCTCTCTTTAAAATCAAAGAATTTGTAATAAATCCGATATATATATTTATATAGAAAATAAGCTTTAAAATTACATACACATTTTTCTTTAACATAAATAAAGTTGAGTAATTAATTGTGGATTCATGTTTATGTCAATAAAATGAATTGAAAATAGACTGAAATGTATACAAATTAATACAATAAGAAATGAATTATAACAAAACAAAATAAGCTTTATACAAAGAATTACATACGTCAATGTAGAAACATGTTTTAATTAACAGTAACTCAATAGTTATTTTTTTTAATACAAGTCGTACTTTTTAATATGTTATTATTTTATATTTGTATTATTGTGGATATAAAATAATTTAAGATTTAAAACTATCTGAATATTGATATGAGATTAAGTAAGAATTCCAGGATAGATTTTCAATTACAAGTACATACAAATGTACTCGTATTTCGAATAGTTCATTCTCAATAAATGCTTTCTTCATTGTTATACTTGAAGCGTATTAGATATAAGTCGTCTTTATATAAAGTTCGTTTATTGATCACGAACACATAAGTAATATTATAATATACTAGTATTTGCCCGTGACTTCGTCCACGTTAATTTAGTAATTACTGACCGGGCGAACTCCATTCAGCCTAAATGCCGTAAATAACATGATATTAGAATTTAATATTTGGTTTTTATTTCAATAGAACAGAATTAAATTAAGTAAGAAAGTCCATCTCTTGGTTCCAAGCTATCTCCCTACCAATTTTCAACCATATCCCTACAGCTGTTCTTGAGTTATAAATAATATAACTAACACGACTTTCTTCTATATATAGATTGTCATTAATAAAAGAGCTTTGTTGTTGAAAGGGTTGGAAAAATTCTCGCTACAATATACAGTGACGTTGTCAATGTGCTGTCAATCGTCAGATTTAAAATACCATTGAAAATTGAATTTCATTGTGAGTGACGTGCTCATTGTTTTGCGAACTATTTTGATATCGGTAGTTCTGTTTTGTTGTTGATGTTTTGAAAAATAAACTTTAAAATGTATTTTTCAGTAAAAAGCGGATTAAAAATACCGGTATTTACCGATTGACACCTAAAAAAGACAAATCATTTATGCAAGTCACTGATGCCGAAAACCCTATTATAACTTATTTTGTCTTATTTATTGTAGTGATATTAAAAAGTCACGAAAGATGCAGAAAAAATATTGCCAAAAAAATTTAATGATTTTTTTTTTAATAATTCAAGAGACCATAATATATATACGTATATTATATATCAACATAACTACTAAAGTTCTAAAAGGGTAATGAATGAATGAATGAATGAATCACTGCATTAAATAAAAAAATATTCGTATTTAAATAAAATGCATAAAACTTTCTCACTATGGTCAATATGAATAAGTCTTTACAGTGCTTCGATATTAATATTAAAAATCATCATTTTTATGATATCTTTATAAAATCGTAATGATAAAATTTTAAAGTTCCCTGAAATCCAGCCTTCCGCGAAAGCAAACAACAATAATCCTAGCAACTCGAAACGACCGTCGCTAGTGAAAAGGATTTAACTGCGGTGATTTATAAAGCTTATGGTTTTAAAGGAAATATTATAAATTCATGAAGTAGATTTGTTATTAAATTGATACGATTACTCTACGTCTTACTTACATTATTAATGTTCTGAGATTTGTTAGTAGTGTCGTTCATTTAAATATCTGTTCTTATATGAAACTTGTATACTTCGTTTATTATTTTTATTGCCTATATTGTATCTTACCTGTGTCGAGCTGACGGATTTTCTGCTGTCAGTGTTGCTAGGTTGTCTAGAGAATGAAGGTGTAGGCATACTGTGGAGAGTACCAGGATCGGAGTCTGTCTTACAATCAGTACTGCTCGTACCTGGTTCCTATTAGAGATATAAAAAAAGGATTATCAATATACGCATCAAGTAAGTCATTCTATGGAGATAGTGTTTTTTAAATTTCGAACATTTTAATTCATCAATACACGCATCACCAAGTCATCGGTTATTCTATGAAGTGAATGTTTTTTAAATTTCGAACATTTTAATTCATCCATACACGCATCACCTTTAAGTCATCGGTTATTCTATGAAGATAAGGTTTTTAAATTTCGATCATATTAATTCATCAATATACGCATAAACTTTAAGTCATACGACATTCTATGAAGAGAATGATTTTTAAATTTGGAACATTTTAATTCATCAATATACGCGTCAACTTTAAGTCATACGACATTCTATAAAGAGAATGATTTTTAAATTTGGAACATTTTAATTCATCAATACACGCGTCACTTTAAGACATCCGATATTCTATGAAGAGAATGTTTTTTAAATTTCGAACACTTTAATCCTATATGCGACTGTAAATGTTGACAAATCAAACAGATTCTCGTATAGCGTGAAGTCTAAATATTCAATTACAAATAGAAATTTATGACGATATGAGACTAATGAAATTATTTCCACCGTCATATTTTATATAATTCGTATAAAATTATTATGATAATACAATTTATATAAATAAAACTGCTAATGTCGGTCGCGACCTACATCTAGTTTATTTGAATTTCTGCTCATTTAAGCGTTAAGGGTGGAAAATATTAACATAAAATATCCTAAAGCTTCGTCAATATTCCATTATGATCTCAGGTGTTGTGTTTCATCCAGCTAAATCACATATCACGTCATCAGCGTATATATAATAGTGCTTCCAATATTCTGTTTCGCTTTAAATTAAATTTTATTATACGTAAAATTCTCGTAAAAGCTGCGAGATTTTTAAAATTGATTGAAATTTAATTTAATTTTCATAGCGAGTAGCGTGGGTTGTTCATATTTCCTGGTAAAAAATATTTTTTTATAAATACCTTTTAGTACATATTCTATGTAATATGGATTATTTATTTTATTTTCACGTTAAATGACCTTAAGAAATTTAACTTGAATTGTATGTACGATGCCAGCGTTATAATAAATAATTTATTTGTACGTTAATATATAATTATTTTTGTATTTCTCAATAAATTAATAATTAATTTTAAAAGAAGTTTTTTAAATTGTAATACGAAGAGTCAATAACATCTTTAATATTGCTAAAGTTTTCTACTTGACAGTCTGGTTTAAATGAAAATTTTTGCGAAACTCATTGCCGAATAGGTAAAAAAGTTTTTTGGCAACGTATAAGTTAATAACAGAAAGTCGAACTATGAATTTCATATTTGTCAATAAAATATGCAATTTGTAATACGAACACTTTTTAATATTTAATATATAAAAACTATATATAAATTATGCTCAAAGAACATACAAATAAATGTATAAAATTTAATGCTTCAAAGTTAAATAAAAGGGATTAAAGAGTAGCGAACTTTATAAACCAATATTAAATCCGTTTTGTAATAAGTAGAAAATAAAATTTTTATTTACACGCGTTGCATACGTTGTTTACTGGGAGCTCAAAGGATAAAGTAAAAAACTGTTTTGTTCGAATATATGAAAGTAGGAACAGTTTCCTGGAAAACCTCGAGTTTGGTACTACCCACATTAAACGACAAATATTACATTCTAGGAAATAATATATTACGTATATTCCGAGTATCTCAATGAGAGTGATATTATTATGATTTTAATTATATTACTGAAATTAAAACGACCTTGAAATGATTTTAACCAAGTTCATATACATGATATTTTATAAATAGGTTATGCTAATGTAATTGTTTAAGTGATGTATCTAATGGCGTAATTAAAATTTGGTAGACGTGAGTCTTATGAGTGAATTCAGACTGAAATATTGTATTGGCAGGTGTAATTTTGGTTCTGAATAAATATTATATAATAAATTGTATTAAAAACTTAATACAAATCCTTTGAAAGTATTAGTTAAGCTAGCGATGTTTTTATTATTGAACTATGAACTTTATTTATATAGATATAATATTATATATTACCTGAAGTGATTTAGCAGTATCGGAGTCATTGTAACGTCCCGTTGGTTTTTTAGATGGTAGAACATATTTCGGCAATGATTTGAAAAACCATGCACCAGATTTTTTCCACATCTCTCTAGTTTCAGCACAAAGGTTGCACATGTACGGCTCTCTCGAATATATGGATGGCCTGTTTACAATACTTTAATAAAGATTTCGTTAAAATATATATTTTTTACTATTTATAATATTTTTTTGAAATTATTCTCGGAAACCATATAAATATTTATTTTTATACATGTTGTAAAAATATATATTATTATTAACATGTATATATTAGAGTCGAGACAAGGGGCTTGTTCCATAAATAACCAGAACTTATACTGTATTTTTGTACATAAGTCGACCTCATCATTAGAAGTTTATAACTCGGGAAATCAGAATAATTAGAAATCAAATAGGTAATTAATAAAACAAAATCAAATAGAGTTCACTAATTTTTACTAAACGTAAAAATATGTCTTGAGGTGATCCAATTTAGCTTTTTGAAAATAATTTATATTTTGCCATGCACTTATAAAAACAAAAATAATTGAAAAGAAAAGATTATGTATTGCAAAAAATCGTATATCTAAAATCGCAATTGCTATGAGTAAAAACAAGTTAGGCACATTTATATTGGTATTTAATATCATTGCCAAATATATAGAAATCGCTGAATTCTTTAAACGAAAAGCTTTATATATATTAAAGTTACTATACCTGTGTTGTGATGGTGTTTCTATGACGCATTTTGAGCAGGCCCAATGTTGGCACATGGCGCATCTTCGTAAGGGAGATAGTAACTTAGCGGTTTCGCCACAAAGTAGACAACTTCTTGGAGCCGGCCCTTGAGCTGATCTACGCATACCTATAGAAGAAGAATATTAACACTTAGAGACGAAAAGAAACCTCTCAGAATTTGGGTTCGTGTGATAGGTCTATTGAAGGGAGAGGAGCTTCAACAGTGCCTAGGACTTACGAACCCGGTGTATCTTTAAGGTTTTTCTTATGGGAAAAGGGGGCAACTGAGCAGACGGCCTACCTTATGTAGGTAGTACTCGCTCATGGACATCCGCGACGTAGATTTGCGGATGTGTTGCTGCCCTTAATTGGGGAAAATTGGGAGGAAAAGGTGGGAAAGGGATGGAAAGGAAAGGTTGGGAAAAGGGAAAGGACAACCGGCTCTCTCAGTCATCGAACGAAATGCAGCTATTAAAGACTACTTCACGCCGATTTTCTGTAAGAGGGTGGTACTTTCCCGGTCGAGCCAACTCATGTTCGAGCTGTAGTAATTGACGACAGCTAGTCTCTAGCACCTCACAAAATGTATGTAATATATAACAAAGCTTAATTTCTACGTTTAATAAAGTTCGTCAGTTATTCTGCTTATATTCGCTTGTCGTACAATATTTCTCGTTAAGCTCATAATCCGTCGATACGTGTATGATGTTTCAGCGTATATTCCATTCGATTCTGTTCCCTTTATGGTATTACTGAAATTACATGGAAATCCTGCTTTCGTCCGAATATAGGACGTATAAATGCATCCATACATATGTTTTTTAAGCTTTACATTTTGTAATCTTTAAAAAACATATGAAAAAGACGAGTTTTTATAATATTTACAATGTATGTCGGTTAATTTTTTCGATAATATTTCGTCATAATCTGTTTGGAATCATCGGAACTATTTCCTATTGTATCTATTGAATAGCTAACCTTTTTCCCTGAGTCCTCAACAACTACTCACTTTGTTATACCTTTGATCTCATTCATCTTCCTGTCATTCACTGACAAACGTTATCTCTATACTGAAAATACTCCTTCAACGTTAAAATATCTCTACAATATCTATTATTCATTCAACATATATACAATGCATACGTAGCTCAATAATAATTATCATTTTTTTAATCTGATAATATCCGAGGATATACAATGTAGTTTATAATAAAGATTATAGACAATTAATATATGATACAGTCGCGGTGGCTTAGAGGTTAAAGATCTCTCATGTATGAGGGCGCGGGTTCGAAACCTGGCGAGTGCCAATGTGATTTTTCGAGTCATATGTATGTATGTACTTTCTTAAAGTATTTAGACACCACTGACAGATCGTGAATGAAAACATAGTGAGGAAACCTGGACTGAACAAATTGTAAGTTTGAAATCAACAACCCATCTTAAGTAAGCGTGATGATTAATGCTCAAATCTTCTCCACGTGAGAAGAGGTTTTTGCTCAGAGTGGGCTCTGATATTCTGATAAATATATTATAAAAATGTATTAATGTATTTACCTTCAAGTCGAGCAACCAGTCTGCCGATTCGTCGGGCTTCGACCTCATCGACTTTCTCAGCCCGCCGTACAACTTCCGCTATAGCCTCTCGTTCGGTTGCCGTCAGCGGGGGCTCACTCCGGGCAGCGCTCCAACCAGTCCGCAGTCTACAAAGCAAACTCCCAATAACTCTCAATACACAATACAAAAACAGCCTAAAATTCTCCAACAAGAACCTTTTAATTTCCCTACCGAATGTTACAAGTGAAAGGTTTTCCAACGTCGCGTCGTATGTAACATGATTTAGCTTTTTGTTTTCATTTGGATAACATTGCTTTTATTATTTATTTTTGGTTTAATACAAAAATCTGTTTTGTTTGTCTTGATATGGAAATCTTTGTGATTCTTAATAATACCAGACGATATTTGAAATTCCTTTAGTATATTTTCTCTCTCTACTATATTTTTTTGAAGATTTCTATTGAAATAAATTATATGATAGTCTCGGTTGGACTGAATACTAGCATGTATCTTATATCAAAATAATGTAAAATAATTTATCTAATTTTACTTCTTAATTAAACTTGCAAAACAAAAGTTGATGAAAATTCTATAATTATTTGAAGTTAAAATTAAGGTGCGAAATTAGTCTAAAGTTTTAAAGCCATTTATAACCTTAATTTATGTTAACAATTAATGTTGTTTATATCGTGAACACAAACAGGTTTTTGATAATGATAGATTACAGCGATCAGCCTTCCATTACCCGACTTTATCGGAATTGCATTTATCTACCCCTACGTTATTTTATCTCTTTACAATCAATACATATACGATGTCATGTTAAATATAGTAATTTTATGAAAATTTCAAACTAATACGATCTCACTGTCATACGTCGGTAATAAAAATGAATTTAAAATAACTATCTAGAATTATTAAGAAAATTGTAGCTAAAAATGGTTTATATTTTAATCCATATGTAAGATTTTAAAAGGTACGTAAAATGAAATCAATCAGCTTTTATCTTTTGTTACTTGGTGTATTTAATAGTAAGACAAATAATGCATTGTTCATAATATTTAACAATATTTGAATGAAACCAAAAACGGATTTGTGAGCATTGTTGGTCTATTTCTTCAGATAATAGTACTAATCAAAAATCATTTACCACATCTGTTTAAATTTTAAATAATTTATACGAGATGTTATTTATGTGCAGAATTAGGACGACTTCATTTTTTTGAAAATTAAACTAAGTTTTTCAGATAGTAAGCGTTTTTTTTAGTATTTTATATCTAAGTAATCTCGATGGTTCGGTTCCTTTACAGCAATAGTGATCATGAAAACGAGATGAGAGTATGAGTTTCATTTAAACGAGAACAAAAAAACATTAGGTATATATAATAATTATAATTTATATTGTTTGATTTGGTCACCCTTGGAGTCTGATAAAATTTTGAGAATTAGGTCGATCTAAATATAAATGTAATTATCATGGTTTATTGAATATTCTGTTTCTTAAACGGAATAAAATAATAACAAAAATAAATTAGTGCCTATCTAAAGAGAATATTAATTCAATGTAAGGATTACATAGCCCAATAAGACAATATGCTGTCTTCAAATACAAAAAAATTACATTTATTCCGCTTTATCGGGACGCAAGAATAGTATGTAGAATAAGAAAAAAAATACTTAATTTAAACTGGACTGAGGCTGCGTAATTTTCAAAAGAAATATGCATTGGGTGACCGTGTTCGTACAAATTGTTTCCTTTTGGCATCAGAATTACAATGGCTGTTCGTTACATTTATTCACTGCTTCATTCTATTACGGTATAGAATTACACAAAGAATGCGGACTTAATAAGGAAAATAATTAAAAATTCGGTCGTATTATGGATAACCTACAATTACATTTACGAAACTAATTATTACTTATATAATTCTTTTTAATAAAAACGACTCTCCATACATTTCTGTAGCGATATAAATTTTAGTCTTCAAAAATATGTATAAAAAAGCATTCTAAGTATAAATCAATTAACATTGACGCCGACATTGGAATCGCAGTCGGAAGTAACACAAAACTATATGATATACGGGCAGGAAATATCTCTTGAATAAATCTCGCATCTTTAAATTTAAATATTCATACACACAATATACAAAATTGTTTTCATAGAATCTTACATAAATCGGACTTTCATTACTTATATCGGTTTAAGTAAAACATTTTCTAAGTAAAGAAATAATTTATCCATCGGAATGTAACCACAGATAATAATATAAAAATCTAGCCGACCCGGCAAACGTTGTTTTGCCACATAAAAAAATAGGGCTTGGTGATAAAAAAAATAATTTTGGATTATATGTACTATTTAATGCTACATTATGAAAAAAAAAACAAAATATTTCGTCCGAAAAAATAAAATTAAGGGTGAATAACAACAAAAAATAGATGTTAGCCGAATCTCAGACCTACTCGATATTGTCACAAAATTTCATCAAAATCGGTCCAGCCGTTTCCGAGGAGTTCTCTGTCTTACACCGTGACACGAGAATTTTATTTATAAGTTATAATTGATTCTGTCATAAAGCTGTTAAGGATGATTTGATGAGACTAATAAAAGTTAGATGTCTGCATTACACATGCACTTTAAATTAATAAACACTAATACCAATAATTTAATTTAAATTTAATTTCGATTATATGAAATTCAAAATTATATTATCCGTAATTGAAGCATGAGTACCATATGAATAAATATGTATTTATCGATACGAATTATTTCAGTTGAAATGAGAGTTCATATTCGTTAATGAAATGTGAAAATAATTGAGTGTTCTCATTTGCGGAAATGTTAACTTAATTTTTATTAAAAATACTCATTATTATAGGTTCATAAAACCTATTAAGAATAAAGTTCTTCCTAACATATCAAGTCTTAGTACGACTTTGCAAGAATATTAAAAAGTAAATATGAACTTTGTCGCTGTTTGTACGAATTAAACATTCTCGATGAACTTCTAAAAGGTTGTTCACAAAAAGTGTTTACAATCCTCTTTGGAGAGCCTATTTTTATCCTTTGTACATTATTCATATTCAGACAGTAGAATGTCCAAATAAATCTTTAAAGTATTATAAATGTCGCTTTGAAAAGAGCTCAAGCAGCTTAACACGAACCACATACAATATTCTATAGATAAATAATAAAAAAAAATATTAGAGCAAATTGAGATAAAACATTAATTGATATGTTTTACAACAAAATTATGAATACATATGTATAAATTAATGATATCTAAGACTTCTGCGACGTTTATTCATTTAAATGAAACTATTATTTTTCGGATATACCTATTACGCGGTTTATTTTTGTGAAAAACTACATATTCCCGAAATTTCGGCTACTTTTCAGCAACCGTGATCACGGGCAGACAAGATGTGTTCATTTAAATAGATATATTTTTTACCTATTACCTATGCTATTTTTTTTTTGTTAATAATGTACTACAATTCGAACAAGAGAATTCGATTAATTTTTTTCGTTGAATCTTATTATACGAAACGAATGTACAATAAATGATAGTAGTCATCTGAATTACTGTAATTCCTTTTGAAATGGGAAACGTCGAAATATTAACTCGGAAATGTTAAATATTAAAAACGATCACATGCTCTTTCAATACTCGTTTATATAAACTGTGCATATTTTATCAAATACAGTAAATAGTCAGCTAAAAGCTGCTTCAAGTACTTTCATACAATTTAAATTACTAAAGTCAGTGGAACGTTTTGTCTTTTAGCTTCAACAGGAAATTCTGTTTAAACTTGGATGGAAAGGAATCTTAAGTTTCAGTAAGTAAAACTTTACATTGCGATAACTTTGATTTCACAGAGCTGGTTTTATTGAACGGGACTACTGAGAATTCTGTGATTGCTATTTATCTATATAATTATATATTTTATTTTATATTGAGTATTAAAAATGACTGGTCATAAAGTTTAGTATAATATAGATATGATTGAACAAAACCATATTTCAAAGTCATTCACGTATTTAATTTTCATGATATTATTCCTATTTTTAATTGACAGCGAAATTAACTTCGATTTCTGGTATAATAAATTTATAATGGAATATTATTTTAAGCACGTCATATGAAGCGGTAAGTAAGACGTTTCAACCTACGTAATTAGACACCAGAGTGAGGAATATATAAATTATAGAACCTATGTATTATCTTACGCATTTATCTTCTTGAGCTTTACTCAATCAATGAGTATAAAACTTTCAATAAGAATTCATGACTCAAAAACAGTCATCTGTATGAATGTATTGTAATACATTATGCTTATTTTCAGATACGTTACAATGAAACAAAGCTAATAGGAAGCGGATGTAAACAGTAGATAAGACTCATGTCATACAAGGCCAGTACGTACAACCTCGAGCTATTTATAGAAAAATCAAACTTCTGTATCCCTTTTTTTTCCTTAAGCCATGACCCTTAGTACTTAGAATAACGAAGGGAATTGTCGAAGCAAATTGTTCAAAATTGTAACGAACGTATTAAATTTATTACTCTTATTACACACGAGCGAAACAATAAGCGTGTTATTTTCAAATAACCCATGTTTTGTTAATATAAAAAGTGATATCTTACCCTTTCGAGAGTATTCATTGAAATGCAACTAATATTTTCAGATGTATATATTAAGCGTGTTTTTATTATGTTAATTAACGTACTCCCGAAGTTTCAATAACTTTGATATAACGTTTGTTGCGAAGTAACCGAAACTTCGGGAATATTTATTTTAAAATTATAAAAACGCGTATTACATCCGAAAATATTAGTTTTATTTAAATTATAAAAAGCTTAATTTCATGGACAGATTCATAAATTTCATAGGAATCGTGATAAGGAGTTTATGTAGCATGCATGATAATTACAAATGAATAGCAATATGTTTTAATAAACTTTTGGTGATTTGGTTAAAAAAAATGATAGTTTAATTTAATATACGATAAAAACAACGTAACCAAAAAGACCGAATTAGTTTCGAAAGAAAATGTTTCATCGTATTTTTTAAAACCAACTCAAAATTGTTAGGCAAAATAATATAACGCACTTAGAGCAAATAAAACTTATTTACGTATATTTTATATTAAAAAATAAATTTCGCTGAAACTTACATTTTCTCATTAGACTATTATTCCAAAAACTAGGGGAAATATGATCTCGCATACTCTTTCTCATTCTCTTATATTTGTATTATATTTTGAATTCAAATCTAAATAGTTGCAATGAAATTATTTAATAATAGCAATTGGTAGAACGAAAAAAGTTTAGCATTGAAATTTTACTGACTTTAATTATCAGAATTATTTTGACAATCCTTAAAAAGCCGTTATGCTTTCTTTACAAATAAACTATATTCAAAATGTTTCAATAAGCACATGACAGCACAACATAAACAAAACATTGTAGAAAAGTTCATAAATACTTACTTAGCGCGTAAGGAAAGTTGTCGATCGTTGGGACACACATATTTATTAGCTTTACTTTGTAAGTTCATCGTCAATAAAAAAATAAAACAAAATAAAATAAATAATATTCTATGTGACGGCGACAGGACGCGCTCCGTTCCCGCCAGTTGATAACATCCAACTGTTGCTCGACGCTCGGCTAGCGTCTGGAAATCGATATTACAGCAACGGTTGCGAACACGTTTACCAAGACGCGTCATCCCTTATCAGAACATATTATAATAAATAAAAGCCAAGTAACACATAAATTGGCTATTTAGAATACCCAAAAATATACTGAAAACTAGTATAAACTATTTTGAATTCACAAATAGTCGTCTGCAATGATTGAAATCTATTGTCTTCTTCTTAGAAGTTAATGCTAAATTCAAACAGATTTCATGAATTTTATATAACGTAATACTTTTTCTTAATATTGCGACTGCAATTTGAAATGACACGGACTGAGAGCAGCCTGTGTACTTTGAATAGAAAAGCTTTACATTGTTTTGTTTTCCAATTTTTGAAATATTGCTTTTGATTTCGTACACAGTTAATTTTTCGAAGTGGTCATGAATAAAAATATCTAAAAATATATAAAATAAATTTAAAGAATATTCATATTATTACTTTTTTTTTGCTTTAAGCTTTGTCCCGCATATTTATCAGTAATAGTTAATAGATATTATATAATTAAGTAGTTGAAATTTAAAAATATATATATTTTCGTCATGCCTGTTTAGCGTATAGTATAGAAAATAAAACAGAAAAAAAAAACAGTTCAATTTAAAAACAATTTTTTAGGAAGTCGGTGTTTATAATTTTTAACTCAATTATTATCGAAATATAGAATTTTGTGATAGTATTGTTTCACACCATAATCATATTTTGTTACTAGCCAATTTAGTACGTAATAATGTATAAAAGTACAAATTGAAGTTTTTTGTTTAAAATAATTATTTTTGTTATTAATTTGTATACTAAATGAGTTAATTTTATGTGAATTAATTGTATTTTAGATACTAATAAATTTTTGGCCTGTAATATAAAATAAAGAAAAATAGAGTTTTAACTAATCATTTGCAATGATGATACATATTGATTATGGATTTCAATTGGAGTTGAAAGTAATGGAGTTTCAGTTAAATTTTAAACTATGCAAAAATTTAAGATACATAAATATTTTAGTACGAGTATCGCAACAAACCCAGACAGAACGGAATGTCTATGGCAATAGTGTTTGTTAACTGACAACACATTTCTCTATTTATGGCAACATTGACAAAAGTAGCCAAAGTTATATCTATATCAAAATAAATTATTTAAAAACATAAATCTTAATGTAATCGATTACTTTAGTTTTTTTTTGTGAGTTTAATCATAATAATAAATTTAACATGTCATTAGGAATTAAAAATATATTAAATTATATACAACACAGAAAATAAGAGAATTTATAATAATGTTTAGCTAAAATTCATTTAATAAAATAATCGATTCAGTTTTTCAATACATCGTATCGTTATCGATTACCATAAACAATTGTGTTCCTCTCTATCCAATGATTCTCAGGTCTAAGTAAAGTGACATTTCACAATTTGCGATTGACAATTCACTTCAGTAATAATGGCGCACTGGCGAAAGACAGATAATTTTCTGTAAGATTAGTTTACTGGGTGAGGTGGAGTGAAAACAAAGTTATTAAATGCCGTACCGCAGGCGATACTCCGCGAAAATGCCAGATTACGATATGGAAGTGACCGTTGTAGATGTTTATGATATGGCTTCGGACATTGGAAAGGAATGCGAAATAATTATCGAAAAATACGGCCCTGAAGCTGTTACAGCTCTACTACCGAAGGTGATAAATGCGCTGGAATTATTAGAAAATTTGGCTGTACGCAATGAAAAGGAGAATCAAGCACTGAACGAATTAACAGCGAAGATATCGCAGTTAGAAAACGATAAAATAGAAAAGGCGGAGTACAGACAACGATTCGAAAAGGTATGCAGAGGTCATAATTATTTGGTTATTAAGATGCTTCGTGAAAAAAAGAACACGAAACGTTTGGTATAGTTTCAACATCTTTGAGTATGTCGGGTCTTACAAAAGACGCATAATGTTTCTGGTGGATATTGCGCGGCTTGACATCCCACTATTTGTTCAACTCATGCTAATTTATATATCACGTTAATAAGTATCAGTCATGTCATAGATCCTATTATGGTCATAAATATATGAAATTGCATTTTTATGATTTATAACTGAATTATTGCTTAACAATAACATATAGATCTAATAGTTTGAAATGAGGCATTTTAATGAAAACAATTTCGTTGATTCCATACTATTTACAACAAAGAACAATTTTAGCATTTGTGTTGTTTGAAAAACATGTTACGTAACAATAACAGTAAGATTTTTAATGTTGAACCTCATTAATATTCCATATTGTAAATATATTGTTACTTATCTAAATATTAATAGAGTCAGTCATATGAGGAAATTTAAGAGGATTTAAGAAAGGAAGTATCAAATGTTTGTATTTAGCGCTTTATCTCCAATTCCCAGCACTATATAGCGAGTATTTGTGTCATATAAAATTTTGATGAAAAATTCAGACTTTTTTTCTGGTTTAAGACTAATGAATGCATTAGGCATAAACCTTATCCCTTATAGTTACTATAAACTAACATTTCATTAAAATTTAAATGTATTAAATGGTTAGAAATATACATTAAAGTACATAAAATATTTATTTATAAATAACTGACTTGTTTAACACTAGTTATATTTAAATAATTTACAGGAAAACGTGAACATGTTAGTTCTGTTATCAGCTTAGTGAATGTTTAATTTAATGCACATGTGTTTACTCTCAATTGGATAATTGGATTACATTCCCGGCTCACATGCTATTTCTTGTTTAAAGACCTAACACAGAAATACACTACTGTAATGAAAACTATTTGTCCATAGTAACTTTTAATAAAGAAACAGTATTGGAAATACAACCATATATAATATATATATTTTAATATTATATGTTCTATGTTTTTGGTATAATATTATCAATTAAAACAAATTTAAGAAATCATTTTATTCTTTCTACATATCTATAAAAAAACATTAATATATACTCTGTGGTAATATATATGTACAGGCTAGATAGAAAATGAATGTTTGTGTAGATAACATATCATTGTTACAGAGAGTGTTTAGAATTTACTCATACATCAATTGATATCTAAAAAGGATTTTTATTTTAATTCAACCTTTTTGGTGGTGCTGTTAAAGCCAATATGACTAAAAACTGACAAATTAAAAAAAAACCTCATTACTGAAACTAATATATGTAACATAACTATCTCTAGTTTTATCTCTTCATAATCATTCCTTCTTAGATATATCAATATTTCTTCACATTATAATAATGTGCCCATAAAAACAAGCTTATCAATTTTATTGATAAATTAATCCATTGTGTTGATACTAATATTGTGAATTTAGAATTCGGTGACAATTTTATATGATATTTTATCATATTTTGTGTAAAATATTATTCGGAATTTGTTATATTGAGAAAATTTAGCCAATAGACAGAAGTTAAATTACTTTATTTGGAAACTGAATGATAACTTGGTTATTGAGTTCTTTTTTTAAAATATTGCATATAAATAGTCTTTATGTTACTCTATTATGAATGTAGTTTTTAATGTTCACAAAAAGTTAATTATCTTTGAATATTTCTTTGCATATTAAAATATGAATGATAATAAAAATAAAAATATATATTTTTTACCATTTATATTATTATACAGCTGCGTGCAAAAGTATTAGGCACCCCTATTGTTAGTCACTATCTCATTATATTGCGGTCAAGTCTGTGTTTTATGGTTTAGCTATTGTATTAGCGGCAATTTTTAACCAAATTAAGATAAAAGAAAATATTTATGACATCCAGGTGTGCTCCTAAGCGGTGTTTCTTCGAATTTGCTTTTTTTGCGTTTCGTGTTATAGTGTGTTATCAGTGCTTGCAGTGAACATACACGTCTTCTACGCAACTCTTCCTATCACAATTCTAAAGACTAACATTTAACGTGTTAATCATGCCGAAAAAATCTGAACTTAGTGCTGAACAGCGTCTAAGAATTAAGATTTTACATGAACAAGGCATGTCTCAGGTTAAAATAGCCCGAGAAGTGAAGTGCTCGTGATGTGCAGTTCAATATGCTATAAATCGCTTCAAAGAGACTGGCACCCATGAAAATAAACCAAGAACAGGCAGAAGAAAAGTTACTACTGAACGGGAAGATCGATTGTTGATTAGGCAGTCTCTACAAAACAGGAAAAAAACTGCTTTAGAGCTCGCTGCAGCATTATCTGAGGCAAAAGGCAGCTCAGTGAGTGTTTATACTGTGAGAAGAAGACTTCTTAAAGCTGGATTAAAAGGATGTAAAGCAAGGAAGAAGCCGTGGCTGTCAGAACACAATAAGAAAAATCGGTTGGAGTGGGCACTCAAACATAGAGATTGGTCAGTGGAAGATTGGTCCAACATACTGTGGTCAGACGAATCTAACTTTGAGGTATTGTTATTTATTTTATGTACAATATTAAAACACATAAATGTTTCTTAAATAACGTACTGCAAGAAAAATAATAACTTTAAAAATAAATGTGTTTTTTTCGTTTGGCATAGGTGTTTGGAACACCCGGTGTGACTTATGTTAGGCGAAGGGTTGGCGAAGAATACAACCCAGAATGTGTGGTTCCCACTGTTAAGCATGGTGGAGGCTCAATAATGATCTGGGGCTGCATGGCTGCCGACGGAGTGGGCGAAATGGTGTTGTGTGAGGGACGAATGAATAGTGTTAAATACACTGAAGTTCTGGAAACAGCACTAGCAACGTCGATAACGCAAATTTTCGGTGATACAAACACCGATGGCCTGAAATTTCAGCAAGACAACGCCACTTGCCACAAGTCCGCGCATACCATGAAGTGGTTTGCTGAAAATCATATTGATCTTTTGGACTGGCCACCACAATCACCAGACCTCAACCCGATTGAGCATATTTGGTCCATTTTAAAGAAAAATATCCGCAGGCACTCGATTAGCAATAAACAAGCTCTATTGGCCGCGTTACAGCAGGAATGGAAAAATATATCAAGAGAAGAATGTTTCAGGCTGGTAGAGTCAATGCCAAAAAGAATGGCTGCGGTTATTAAGTCAAAAGGTGGACCTACAAAATATTAATTATTTTCTTAAAATAAACCATTGTAATCATAAATGCAGTTTTATTTACACTCGCTATGCTAAAACACCCTAAAACTTGTCTTACTGTAGGGTGCCTAATACTTTTGCCCGTGGCTGTATAATGTCATTATAAAATAATTATTTAACAGAAATCATATCCCAAGTTTTATGTATGTAATTGTATTTCTTAAGATCATTTAGGTCATTGTATACATAACATATGTATATATATGTATATGTCATATTATTGTTATATTATTAGGTGTCTTCTCCATTTATTTATTTTTTATCATTATCATTTTAATCTTATAAAGAATTCAAGATATAAATACATATATCAGTACAATCACGGTAATACATCAAATTTTTCTATACAGCATTATCAGCTTGCTTTGATTACAATGCAGTGTTTCATCCCATTAATACTTTGTATACTTTGATAGTGATTTTATATGACACTATTATCTTTAATATATTTTTTATAGGCTGAATATTAACTCTTTTTCCTTATACTAGTTTTGTTTGTAAACATAAATTATTTGTGCATTATTTTGTATTAAAAACATATTGACGTCGATTTAAAGGAACAATGATTTGAATTTGGGAAAAGATTTTTATTTCTTGATAGAGGGACTATTTTACGCAGCTTAAACTATAGGGTCAAGCTAACAGCTTAGAATAGATAAAATTAGCTTATCTTATCTGAACTTAGCTTAGCTCTAAGCCTGAAGCTTAGCTCTAAATTTCTAAATCGGATATAGGTATGGCGTAGTATTTTATTTTCTGGTTTATCCTTATCTTTTTTTCTTATCTTTGATCATTATAATTTATGCAGAACAGGTTTTCTAAACAAAATTTTAAAGTTCCCTCAAACCGAATAAACTGTGTCTCTTTTCATTATTAACGACGTATTGTTTGCCGACACATAACATTATTTGGAAAATCAAACCACGGAAGGAGTTGGATATAGAAACTTCGTCATGACAATTTTACTTCATAAAAAAAAACCTTTGAGCTATACTTTAAATTTTATAAGTAAATTGAGTTAACAAATAAATTAACAATTAAACTGTTTCTGGTTCAGGAATGTTGAACTACAATAGGATAGTTTTCATATATAAGTAGGTATAATACCAATAATTCAATTAATATTACAGTGAGAATATTCAGATATTAAATAATACCTTGACCAGAATACGTTTTAACAAGTTTCAATATGCCTCATATTGTAATTATTAATTGAATAAAACCACATTTATTGACTCTTCATCCACTAACCGCATTTATTTTTGGACGCTTAAATTGGCGTTTATTAAATTACTTTTACGTCGCGGTAAATGTAAAAATAAAAATATATTGTTTCTATTAAAAAAATTAGTTTATTTTCAACTTTGATGATCTTGAAAAGTAAAATGTATATTACTTTTTAAGAGCAGGATTAACTTGCATATATACAGCTGAAAGTTTTTTATATACTCTTTAACAAAGACATAAAATACGTAGGTATAAAAAAAAAACAATTTAAATACAATGTTATCTGATTCCTTAATTGTTTGATCTGTAAGAGAACATTGTATATTATTTTAATATGTAAAACTTGTTACGATCGAAAAATCAAGAAACAAGGTCAAGGTTTACTATTGGAACTCACAAAGTAGATACCTGTCTATGATAAAGTCTTTCATTTTGATCAACATTGTTAAAAGTTCTATTGCATATCTAGTAATTGTAAGAAGTCGACATTTTGTCCTATTGCTCATTATAAATATTACAATATTTTTGATTAAATTGTACCTTATTGCGCAGGAGATAGAGGCTATCGAGGAGCAGTGGAGGACGGAGTCAGCTGAGCTTGTCACAGCCGTCGCCAGGCTCCAGGACGAGAATAAACGTTTGAGACGGACCATCAACTCGCCAGCGGACGGTGAGTTTTGGAAATGTATGATGTTTTTTTTTTCATTTATTTTAATAAACACAACACATTCCATCACACACACTTAGAAGATCGCTTTGAGACATTTCGATGTACCCTCAAGCAATCATGTCTTTGTTTTTAATGTATTGTGTTTTTTTTATTGCATATCGTTGCTTTATGAGATAAAATCAAAATTGAGAAAGTGTTAATTTTTTTTATATTTATGTTTCCAATGGCATATTTCAAATCATTTCGCGCGCGCGCGAACACGCGCACTTCCAGACACATGTACAGACAACCACCTACACTATCTTGTACACACACGTGCTCATACACACGAACAAATAGAAACACATATCCACAAACACATACAGAATCTATACTCACATACACATTCACGAACACACCCCCACACTCACATAAGCATTCACGAAAACACGCAAACACATCCCACACACATACACACACACACACTGCACACACAAGTAGACATTCACTATCACTCCTTCACATACGCACACGTGCGCACATGCATACGCACATTCTAGTGCATGCACACGCATATTCAATCATGCCAATTCACACGAATAAGTACAATCACACGCATGCATACGCAAAAGCGATCGTTCATTGATATTATTTAAATTTACTAGCAGTTTTAAATTGCTTTGGTTATATTACATGATATTAGTAGGCACACACTTGCACGCACGTATTCGCGAATTCCCAGTATAGTTTTTATGTTATACATTTTTATTTTAGCTAGCGAAGTATATTTTTATATTCTTCTCTATGTGTCTTTGTCACTGAACGGATTTTAAACGGCTGGACTGATTTAAATGAACTTTTTTGAAAATTGGTGGCCAGTGTATGTTATATACCTAAATATGTATACCCAAATGGATCATGCCCCAGATGATTTAGATTCACAAGTCAGCCATGCAGATGGCGCTGCAGTCCATACCTAGGCTGCAACATAAGTTACTATATGTAATGTTTTAATATTCTATATACATTTCTGTATGAGCTCACACACATACACACATACGCATACGTCCATACAAATAAACATGCATGTGCGAATGTAATTATACTTATTCATCGCTCCGATACTACATTACCATTAAGGATAGTCAGGGATAAAACAGCAAACTCATTTACTTGCACTCTTTCACTCAATGAAGATCATGCGAATTATTTTATTTTGTTTGTTTTTTTATGTTTTTGTTCGACATCCATGAACACACATACACACAACACATTTACTCGTGCATGCACACGCAAGTAGGCATTTACGCACACATCCCATTAACACACAACACTCATGCTTTCGCGAATACTTAATTTTTATCATTTATTTTTACATTTCACCTCGTCTTAGCTATTATGTAATACTTTTGATAGTTTTCAATTGTAATATTATTATGAATATCTTTTTTGCAACATGCTGCGTGCGAACTGCTTATATAAAGTATCTGTTGTCATAATCTTTATCGTTAACTCATTATTTGAAATATTCCATTACTAGTCAAACTCATTATTAAAACCAGATCTTTTTTAGTACAAAATAATCAATAAATATCATAATGTTAACGGTACATAGCATTTATTTCATAATATTTTTAACACAATTCTAAATTGAAATTTGAAATTTTTATATTAGCTTTGGGTACTTAAAATCACATTTTCTTTTTATTCACTCGTATATTTTCTCATATTTCTTTTGTTTATTTAATCAATAGCATTCAAAATAAACAAAATTATTAAAGTTTTTTCTACTTCATCACACTAACAAATTTGAAGTAATATATATCTGGCACTATTATAACACAAACGGCTTTGTAAATGATGTGTAGGGACCAGCGCCCCGCCGTCCCCGGCTAGGGAGCACGATCAGGAAGTGCTGTCTCGTCTGAGCAGCACCGCGGAGAAGCAGCGATCGACGCTCAGACACCAGGAGCTCCAGCTGCAGGAGAAGCAGCAGCTCATTGACAGCGTAAGCTATAACTATGCTTTCCACCCTTAACAACTTCACACATTTCCAGTTGCAGCTCTAGTTTTTGTATCAGTGTCTAGATATTCCCCCCTAACTATCTGTTGGACCCATGCCAAGTACCAAATCGGACGTTTTTCTTGTTAAAATTTATAACGATTTTTTAAGGCTCAATATTTAAATACTATAACAATTAGTTGTGCTAGATTAGTTATATAGTAGGTAAAACGATGTATTATAATAATGGACTTTGACTAGTCACTTGATCAATTCGAAAATCTAACTAGTCGTAATTTGGAAAGTCTAAAAGTAAGAAATGACAGTAAGATAACTGTAGATTAAATTATTACAAAATTTTTAAAACCCTAATTTCACGACTTCATAATTAGTTCATTTTTTGGAATGAAGTTTTTCGTGGGAATTAAAATTAGACTCGTTGAATTTATTCCATCTTCTCAGAATTGTTTGGATGTCATTATATATCTGTCACTACCTCACAAGATAAACACTATAAAGAGAGCAAGAGCAATATTCATTCTATGATTTGACGTATTTCTATATAGATACAAGATCCATAGTGATGTAGGCGAAGGAATATATGAAAGGGGAATGAAACCCTGATGACGTCACTGGAATTGTCAAAAATGACAAATGAGAGGAAAAAAGTAATGCTAAATTCTCACGTATAATATTTCACTTTGTTTGGTGGTACTTTTATTTGGCGTGTTGTTTATTACACACTGGAATGCTAGTGTTCATAAATATGACGTTATCTTATCAGTGGCATTACTACGAGTTTAATGGTTTTTGTTCCTGTAGTATTTTCGTACAGATGAAAGAAACTCGCCGACATTTATATTATCTCGATGAACGATATCTGTCTTAGAATGTGGCCGTAAAATTATTTTGTTGTTTAGGAATTATTATCAGATATGAAGATATTATTATGTATATTTTATATATGGTATTAATATTCCGATTTTAATCTATAAAACTATAAATTATTTTTTATTTCATATATTAGATGATAGCAATGATAATGTTAGGAATAGAAGACGAGATTTTAAATATTAAATTCCGTTAATAATTACAAATTATAAGTCTATCTGTAATCACAGTCCATATAAGCGATTTACACATTAATAAAAATAGTATAGACACAGCCTAGCACCGAGTACAATGCAAATAGACTATAAGTTTTAATTCGAAAAAAAAGCTTTACAGTCACGTTGTTTTTTTCTTCATTACATAATACGTATTATTTAATGAAGCAAAAACGACTTAATACTCATATAAGCGGTAGAAATTATACTGTTTGAGATTCCAAGCTTAGGGTTTTCATGCAATGCTGCATCTGGTAGATAGGAAACCAAATCTTTCCTTTATTTTGAAGGTAGCTATTGTTTAAAAGCTTTGTAAGTCATTTCGGTACGAGGATGACACCTCAAAGAAAAGATATTTTGACACAATATGAATAACTAGTCGTTGCAACTAACTTTGCTTAGATTATGATAAAAGAAAATAAAAATACAATTAATGTTTTTTTATTCTGACACGAATGTTATCTTAGAAATAAAGCGTGTCTGAAATGCATTCATAGACCTACAATATATAAATATCATTTATTATAATAATAGGATAGGATTTATTCAGAGAATCTTTATCACAAAGTAACTGTTATTTAATATAAAACTTTACTAATTTTGACTCGAGCTTCTTATTACATAACGTTTCAAGTTTAATTAAAACAGAATTTACGGCCTCTTTAATTATAAAAACTTTAAAAAACAGCTCTCGACATGAAAGCGGCTTATATTCTGTGATACATGAACTAAGAGATTCAAATAAATTGTATTAAAAACGTTATTTTTTTATATGTTTAAGTATAGAAACTAGTATGAGAGAGTCAGAATTGTACTAATTATTTGTATATCTTCTCATTAATAAGTTCATACATAATAGTATGCAGAAGACTAGATCCAAATACATTAGGTACAACTGTTTGTCATTAATTCAAAACCGCCTACACGTACAAAGCACACTTTACTTTTACACTTGACACAAGATGTCATAACACTGTATGTAATGAAATTTTCGTAAGAGACTTTTACGACATTATATTTTAATATTATATTATGAATATTTATAAAATTTGAAAGCTTTTATGAATTGCAAACAATAGCGATATATATTTTTTAACTTCTTTTGTGTTATTGCATTTCGCATTAACGTAGAAGAATTGCTTGGTTTTTTTCTTTGACGTCCATTCAATAAGTTTTATTCCGAACAATGAATTTTACATTCGCAAAAATTTGCAATATTTCAAATAAATTAGGACATTTTTCGTCTAGTTTCTATTTTTTTTACTAACATAAGTAAATAGTAGCAAGTTTTACGGGCTCTAATTTTAAGACGAGTACTTTAATCAGGATATGTATTAAAGTTATAAGTATCAAAGTTATTTAACGGATAAATTTATTTGGAAAAATTTTAAATATTCAAAAATTATAGAATCTAACTGAATCTCGTAAGTCATTAAAACCAGCGATCGCTCGCCTAATATCTCATTAAATAAAGTAATTTAGAAATTTCGCTACACCGTCACCTTTTTACCTCCGCCGCTAACATTTCACTAAGTTAAGCGATGAGCTCATTTGCCATTGCCTGACCTTTACTATGTAATGTAGTTTAGATAGAGCAAACAGAATTCATATAAAACGGAGAAGATTGCTTTCTATAGAAACTCAAAGGTAGGTCACGTCGTCAACTGTGACATTTCATATCGTATACAGTTTGAATAGCTCAAGATACATACATAGATATATTCATACGTACAGTGAGAACTTTGTGATTTAAAAATGTTATTTTCATGAATAAATCGCTCAATAATTATAATATTTTCGTTACGTCGTTATATCAACGTAATGTAATAAACTTGTTACATTCGTTTACGTAATAATTCATTCAAAATTCCATGAGAGTTACAAATGTTGGCCTTTGTTGGACATGTAGAGTAAAAAGTAAAGTATGTGGTTGCAGTTTTAAATGTTGACATCGATGACTCTGTAGTTGGTCATAATTAGCGTTAATGCTTTAAATTGTATAATAGTTGTATAACATATGCTATCAGAATCAATGAAAACCGATTTCTGTCTCGTCTGCTATAGCGTCGGTAAGCGGTGAAAGTAGACATCTAAGTAGCGTCGATACCGCGGCGTTACCTTCACTTTTAAACGTTCACATATATATTATTATTAAACTAAAATTCAATTGAAGACTGTAATACACGTCTTTGTATTTCATATAATTTGTAATTATTGACAAACCTTCCAGTTTATGGAATTTAAGTAGGTCTATTTTCTAATATATATATTTCTACGCAATAATAACCCCTCTTTCTTTGCGACAATCTATTTTTTCTTTTATATTATGATTTGTTATTCAGGACACTATTGCGAATTTATATGATATGATAATAATATTTTTAAAATCAATCGCTTTATCTCATTATTATCAATTCGTAGATAATTCTCAACAATTCGTTTTTATCTAGTTTTAAAAATATGCGTAGATCGTAAATATCTTTTATGTTTTGATATATGTGGGGTTTGCAATTAGAGCATGCTTTTTTATATATATTTTTGTACTGCAATATTTCGTACTCGAAGTATCTGATGACGTACTTCAGCGTGGTCTGTGATCTCAATGAAACTTGATGGACAAGTGATACAACCTTGAAGTTATCCAACTTAAAAAATGTATAGGTATTAACGTGAAATATAGCAATATTTTTTTTATGAATATTTTTATAACATCCGATATAATTCTATTTCTATGAATTATCACATACGCAATATTCTCAATTTAGATTATTAAAATACTTAAATAAGAATTTTTTTTATATAATAATATATTAGTTTTTCTATCCACTTGTGTTATTTCATCTGTTAGCAGTTCGTAATTATACATATAAGATCGTTTTTTATTCATGCTAATGATATATTACTGCAGGCCTTATGAGGATCTTGGGCTTTATAATTTTACTGAATTTATAATATAAATAAAATTAAAATATATTTCTCTTTTGGCGTGAGTATTATATTATAATGGTGAACTGGTCTTATGACAATACAGTATGAGTCATAAAAATATAAGTTATATGAAGTAAATATGATGAAATATGTAATTCATTCTTTTTATAATTTCAATGAGATGACGTTATTGTGATTTGAGTGTTGTACGTTTGGAGATTGTACATCCTGTATAAGGAAGGTATTAATAAATATAACAATAGTTATCAATTTTCTTTATTTATTAAGAGTATGAGTATATACATTCAACAAAGATACAACCAGTTACCCTTACAACGAATTGGGATCGACTTCTAAACATAGTTTTCAAATTTTTAGTTCCATATTTTTATACTATCGTATTTAAAAACCTATGCAAACGACACGGCATTGTATACCGAAAATTTATAGTTTTTCATTCATATCTTCACACATTGAAGTAATATTGAAGTAATAACATCAGTAAGTACATTATATACAGGAAACGCTTTGTATTTACTATTCAGTGTGACGATACTTATGCCAAGCATACTGATGTATAATGTGTAGTACGAAGTATTTTATGAATGTTATATTCTATACCTACAAAGGTCTTTATAAAACATATACTAATGCAACGTCATGTATTAGTCATATTTGAAGTGACTACATTTAAATTATTGTATGACAAATTTTACACTTCTGAACAGATCATAAGATTTATCTCATTGTCACTGTTTCCTTATGAATTTTATATGAATTCACGAAATAAAATCTATGAAGCGTCTAGAAATGGCATAAGACTTTCTCATTGTATCGACTTTTAGAGGTACCAATTAGCTTTCATAATGTAATTCTTCCGATCGACGATGCTGAGTAATTATTTTTACGATTTCATTTAGACTGATAGCTTTCATTACTAGTTTGTCCAGTTCTATTCGAAAGTTACGATTAGTGTGGTAATAAGTTTACGTGGGACATAAAAATAGATCAAACAGCCAGAGATTACAATGTATGTGATTTATATAAATGATTTCGGGTTAAAGACTTATTGTTATTCTTCAGTAATTTACAATGTAGTGTGCCTGTGACTAGTTAGAACATGTTAAAAATATTTAGGATATTTTTCCAATATGTATAAGAATTCATATTTTATCAAGATTTATTTAGTGAAAGAAATTTATGTTAGAGGTATATTACGTCTGCGCGACTTTGTTTGTTACGTGATTGAATAAATTTGTTTAAAAAAAAATTGCAGGCCGTTTTTTTTTAAAAAAAAGTCTTACCAGTTTGACCTCTCTGTCTGTTTGATGCTTTTTTTTATATGCAAACCATCCTTACGGTGGTTTTTAGCTGCAGTTTGGCAAATATTGGTCAAGCAGATGAAGATCTCATGATGCCACTCGATTACGTGATTCATAGATACATATGTACAATTGTATATGTTTTTATGTAGAAAAATTATGTTATGATTTAAAGGTATGTTATGTTGAACAAAAAACAAATTTCTTCGATGATTTTAGCTGCACTTAAAACTTGTTTAAGATAAAACCCATACGAAAAACTCAAATCATTCCCTAATATTCCTGAATTGTATGAAAAGCTATTGTACCTCCAGAAAAACCACAAATTTAATTAAACTAATTAAATCACATTGCGATGACAAGTAATATAAGAAACGAGATATTATTTGTAATGATTTCCGTTTTTGAAATATTTTATTATATATTTTAGGAAAAAGATATTGTATTCAACTAGATACTAGAGTTATGACAATAACTATTACGATTTCATAATCATTGTACTATTCGCTTAGCTATTTTGTAAAATTATACAGTTGATTTCGTAAGGAATATAAGATACCTTATAAATATACTAGTATTATTGAAATATTGTCAACCACAAAGCTCTGTATATACAGGGTGACTGGTGAATTACTATCAATATTTAAGGAGCATACTCAGTACATGATTCTCATTCGAATTATGTAAAAAAAATAGGTACTTAATTATTGACCAAATTTTCGTATAAATAAATAAAGTGTGGACACGTTCCAAGTGTTCCAAGTGTGGACGCGTGCGGCGGCGTGCTGATACAACACCACGCCGCCGCGCGCGAGTGTGTCTGTGTGTGTGTATACCTAATCTGTAGGGTGTTCACACGATGCGTAATTAATTACATAACTTTTGGTTAACTTTACTTAGAAGTTTATTAATATTTATGTTATATTAATTTTTATTTTGTCATATATGATCGTCAAATATCACGTCCTCAAGTATCGATAGTAATTCACCAGTCACCCTGTATATTATTTATATGTACCTATACAAAAATACAACAGGGGCAAGTAAGTTTCGTCTCTTCTGAACAAGCTGTTCCCATAAAAAGCCAGCAAATGAAATATTATGGATACGAAAAAAAATCAACTGTCTCTTATTCGTCAATCGGAATTCTTCAACGTATGAATCCCATACATCAATCTTTCATCAGTGACATCATTAAATAACAGTATTTTTGTTGAACAAACAAACAAAATTCTCACTAGTAAATAATTTTTACAAATAAAAACAAGATTAAATAAAAATAACACCCTTCTTATCCTTCTTATTTAATTCTAATGCCGTCATATATAATATTATCTTGTCATTTCAACAAATATCCATAGAAATAAGATTACAAACACTTTGAAACATAAAATTTCCTTAACATTATACATTTTTTATATAATTTCGATAAGCACTATCTTATTCAACGGGGACATCGCCTCCAAAATAACTGATACCTTTTATCTCTACCAAAAACGCAGTATACTTACGTGTTATAATAATTTATCACGTGTGTTAAGTATTGGTCTATCAAATGGCTATTTTGGATACATTACAGTTGACAAACCAAGTGGAGAAATTGGCCCAAGTCAGTCGTGATCTTCGACGGAAACACAAGCAGCTTCAAAATCAGGTTGGTGGTGAATGACCTCATTATGGCTTTTCGTCTAGCTCTGAACTAAATTTTCAGTGTTCCCACTCCAACGATATAATATATCAAATGAAACTTGACGTTGTATTTATTTTTAATTGTATGTGAAATTAACATTTTTATTCATAAGTTTTACTGATTAGAATTTAATGGACCGTATTCATATTTTTTAAATTGTATTTTTGAATATGTTTCTAAGATAAAAATGACGTATTCACTTCCTCATAATTCTTTCAGACAATAAAAAGAATGTAAATGTGTCATTATTATAGTGTGTCTTTTAAGTATTAGGTAAAAAATATATCAATTTGTTATTAGAGAAATATAATTCGTCAATTTACATTACGACCGTTTTTGTTTACGTCAAATTCGTGATGAATTTTTCGCAGAATTTTTTACAATTAATATTAAAAATCTTTATGAAACCTGATCTTGTATAGAATATAGTTTTTCATGTATACATATAATTATTTCAGATGCGTTTAGTATGCGAGGAGAGAACCGAGCTGACAGCCATTGTTCAATCACAACAGAGAGACATCACCGCGCTACAGAAGTCAGATGCAAAAAATAAGGTAACGTACACATAAAAGATAAAGGAAACATAAAATAACAATTACTTTTATGAGTCACTTATAACCAACCATTCAAATCATTCAAACGTGAAATTTTTTTCATATATTTTACAACTGCACTTTGCTTTGGCTGCATTACAAGGCCTTTATATTAAGATATACATATATATGTCTAGGAATATAATATGCATTCGTGAATCCGCACAAGTTAAATAATATGAATATCTTAATGTACGGTTCTGACGCTATTCATTAAGAGATTTTCCACTCAAGTGTCTTGACATTTCTATTTTGAGCTAGAAATACAAACTTTTTACTGACATACATTTCAAATGTTCTCTCTAAAGAAATCTTTAACTGCATGGCTAAGACATTTTACTGATAAACCTATTAATATATAGATGTGTACAAATGATTTTCAACTTTGTGTATCAGTCAATAAATAACATATTCGCGAATTTTATTTTTAGTCATATGCGAAGACAGTATCTTGACGAATGATTTATGCAATTGTTATGAAAGGATGTTTAAATAACAACTATCGTGACTATTATATACTAAGTTATATATTATTCATATAATAAAACGTATTAAATATTGAAATAATTAAAGAGTACTATTAAATAGAAATGGTATGGCTTTTTCTTCATTATGCAACTAGGTATATATGTTAAGTAGTTAATTATAATTGAATTTAAAGTACGAAAAAATTTAAAATACATTTATAAAATATATGCAAATAATATTCTATTGACGTCATATTCACAAATAATGAACAACATATTCTTTAACTAACTGAACAGCAAACATCATTGTTTGTTATTTGTTTGCGAAATAAAACCAACAATGTTTGTTACAAGCTCTGCTTGAGAATTCAATTGGAATTGAAATTGTATTTGTTGAAACTACATTGAGTTTGAAATATAAATGAGATCAATTCAGCTCTCAGAGTGAACTATGATTACATAGTTTTTGTTGAATTAATTTGTAAGTATACTGATGAAAAAATACCTATTTTAATTTGATATAAAATATATTAACCTTTTTAGACTTCCAGGTATTATAGGCATATTAAAGAACTTGTTTTTTCAACTTCCTCTATGTGTTCTTATGAATTAGGAGCAGAGAAAAGTTTATATTGTTTGTTAAAGCATTTGAAATATTAACCAAACATGAACGATATTTATAATGTGCGTTACTAGAATTGATACAGTATACAACTTCTATGCTGTAATCCCGCCAACTACGCTGATTTATATTCTATGTCTTATTCTTATTAATAAGCTACATTTCTGTAGAATTTCATCAAAATCATTCAAGCCGTTTTTGCAAAGAACAATAAATATCAATACATTGGTTATTAATAGAACGATAAAGACATTTCATTGAATTGAAACGATAATTAATCATGATGAAAGTAATATGGGAATGATGTATTTGAAAGGTTGATGTTTTTATTACCGAATAATAAATGTGTTTAAACGAACTAATCTTCGTTTAATACTTTCTAAATAACAAAAGAGAATGGAAGTTGCTATAAATTAGCCGTTACCTTGATTAGGAAATAATTATTGTATAAATTTGATGGGTATTCGATCAATTTTTAATAGAATTAAGAGAATGTCAACTAAACTATCGTCTTTGTCGGCATCAAAAAAGGTTTTTATAACGTAACATTATGTTGTACTTTTTATTCGGTTATTCAAGTAGATATTTCAAAAATATCTCTTTGTTTATGTATTAATATTTTTTATTAAATTAAAATATTCTGTTAAAAAATCATACTCATGTCTGTAAGCGTTACTATATTTGTATAACTACCAATATATAAATCACTTTAAAAGTATAATATTAACTAGTATGTATAAAATATTCACTTTGTTATTGCAAGCAAATTCTTTAAAAGCTAATCTCCTAGATGTCCCTGCTTGTGACATAAACCAGAGGAAATTGCGTAACTGACAGTGTTAGACAACTCAGCTTTGCCAAAGGAGCCTGCACATTTTGTATTTGTAAACTATTTTCTTAGGAATTTGAATTCGTTCGTTTGATCCGTTTTTCTTCTATAACATTTAAATCTTAGGTTTTCAGTCTTTATATAAATCGGATATGATATTGAATCAAACATAATATCCAGTATAATTTTCATTTGATCTACCTAAGAGACAAACGGCGTTTTAAAACATACGTGATCTTGTAATTTATTTTAAACTATCAGTAGCTTTCTCAATACTCAGATCAATTCGGTCATCATTATAGATAGAATTGTTGCAGCTAAATAAAACTCTTATCCAAAACACTGATGAAATAAAAGAAATTGGACTGATCACTACTGAATTCACTTTCGACTTCTAAGAGAAAATATAACTGATTTATAGCCATAAAAATTCAAGTATTGTTATGCGCGTATGACACAAAAATGATTATGAATTACCGATACAAAGAAACGATGAGAGCGCTCATACAGGATGTCATTATACGAATCGGATATAGTGTAGATGAACTCGCAATTACGCGATTAATCAGCCAATGAAACGTAAACCGTGCTACCGTAATCAATTCTCATACGTATAATGGATGTCAGGTATAATGGATGATAAATAATGATTTAGAAATAAATTTTTATAGAACATGTTTGGGATCAACTATTTTTTAATTTAACAAGCAAAACAGCGTTGGTTGAATAATTTAATCAAATTTTGCTAAAGTCCATAGACTTTTGTGAAGCCTTAAAGCCTTATTGAGTGACGTAAGAGTATTCTTAGACAGGACAATTTTATAGCGATGAAGGAATATTTAACACCTTTTCTGTCATTTTGTCATAAAAAAAACAAATATGTGTCAAATGTTCTGAAAAGTTAAATTTGTAATTAATATGTAGTTTTATGAAACTCTAAAATATTTTTCAATACTCTGCTACATTTAACAGATTTCATAAGCTTATGAAATTATATCATTATATAATCTTGCCCATTTTTATTGTATTATCTACGTATCAATTCCCCATGTTCGTTTATCGTTAATTTATATAATCTTTATGTTATTTTGTTTATGTTTACAGTGCACGTCATGCAGCGTGGCGATGGAAGACGATGAGGATCAATCCTCTAAACCGACGTTCAGCGTTCGTGAGCTGAGAGCCATCCTCCATGAGAGGAACGAGCTCAAGCTGAAGCTGAACCGGGCTGAGGAACAGCTGCAGGCCCTGCAGGCCGAGCCGCAACCCGACAGGTGAGCTGAACATGTGTGTGTGTGTGTGTGTATACACACGTACATACATACATACACACACATTCATACATATATATCTATGTACACTCACACACATGCAAGTAAAAGATGTCATTATAGTGACGTAGCTTGAAAATTTGTATGAAACTTTTAAACAATATAGACGGAAAACAAATACCATGTGAAAATAATAATATCTTCCACTTAGTGTTAAATTATTACTACATATTATGTTAATTTATTTACTATCTGTTTGTCTGTCTGTCTGTATGAATGTATAATTTTTATGAATTGTTTTTTTATAAATTTGAATATATTTCATAAGTTTCAAAATAATATGATGTGTGTATGACGTAATTATTTTATCCCTGTTCAAGAGATATACATTGGACGTTACTGTCATTGAGTTGTAAGTCGATTCGAAGTCGGTTTTAAATGTAATAAAATAAAATATAAATACCTCCGATATCCCATTGCAACTTAATACGAATAAGTTAATAAATGTTCTAAATTATATTAACAATAGTATCGTCAGCAGCGGCTCGGATACATCACCCTGTATCAGTACTACGGCCGTTGACGACGAGGCACCGGTGCAAGGACCGCTGCCGGCTGAGCCGGACGACGCGCCCTGGAAGAGGAACAGTGGAATAAGGAAGTTGTGAGTATATATACAAGATATAAACACACACACATACAAACACACGCACACATATATATACACCTACACACACACTATATTAATCTGTTAGTGTCATATAGTATCAAAATATATACAGGGTGGATTAATATGTGTCATATGAATGGAAAGTATCCTTATAATAACAATCGGCTCTAATAATCTAGCTCTAATCGAATCTAGCTCTAGATAATTTTTAAACAAGAATAGTTGTAATTTATAATAAGATATAAATTATAACTATTTTAGTGCATTAAAAAGGGGTTATACATATAGTTTTAATTAATGACATAAATGTTGTTTTTTGATAATAACATGTTTATGTGAAATATTTTACTTATATTTATACAGGGTGACTGGTGAATTACTATCAATATTTAAGGAGAATACTCGGTACATGATTCTCATTCGAATTATGTAAAAAAAATAGGCACTTAATTTTTGTCAAAATTTCCGTATAAATAAATAAAGTGTTGACACGTTCCAAGTGTTCAAGTGTGGACGCGTGCGGGGGCGTGCTGATACAACACCACGTCACGACACGCGTATGTGTGAGTGTGTGTGTATACCTAATCTGTAGGGTGTTCACACGATGCGTAATTAATTACATAACTTTTGGTTAACTTTACTTAGAAGTTTATTAATATTTATGTTATATTAATTTTTATTTGGTCATATATGATAGTCAAATATCACGTCCTCAAATATCGATAGTAATTCACCAGTCACCCTGTATAAACAGTTGTGAAAAATCTTATAGAATCACAGCTCATTTATTCAATAATATTAACATATTAGCAAATTGTTTGTTAGCTTTTTTAAATATATTTTGTATATTAAGATACTTTCCATTCGTACATTCACTAATATCAACCGATGTCTTCGGTTGTATCAGCACTCAAGTTTGTTAATCTTAATTGCACATCACTTTGAGGAATGGATTTGTAACTGTTTCTACAGACAATATACATAACACAAAAAAATGTAATTACATTATTTTTTGAAATTATATAGATTAAAACATTTATAGAAATATATATTTGTATGTGGGGTACAAAGATTTTAAAATTGCATGTAAAATAAATGATAAGTATTTATTAGATATTCTAATGTGGTGCTTACATTATTATTATATTAAAATATTATTAATGTTATAATATTTTAGTATTCTAATAAACAAATATTATTAACAGCCTCTGTGGAAGTTATATGTTGTATTTATTTTAATTGGATGTGAGCATGCATGATGTGAATGTTATGGTATAATTTTATATGGTGTTGGTTATATGTTGCATTTAATCATCCTCATTTATTCATGGCTTTCGGTTAAAATAAAGCAGAAATAAATTCGCAGATATATGTTAGCTTCTATATGCAATGCACTATAAGTTTTACTCCATATAATTAAGATTCGAGTTAAAAAAATAAATAAACCATTTCCATTGAAGTTAAGATTTAAATAATAACACTATCACGTTATTTACATATCAACGATAATTTCATTTCTTGCTTTAATTTTATGGTGTCATATTATTTATTGAATTATGCAAAACAGCTTATATATTGGTTCTGGTAAATTTTTCCTATTATTTATGGTCTGAAAGACGCATGATAATTAGTATTTATTTTGTCTATATTATTTTCAAAATTTATTATTATTATTATTTTGTTTAAATCCCTTCTAGGTGCGTTATAGTCTAAATGTATGGAAAATGCAACCAGGGCCGAAAGAGATCTTTGGATACACTTAGCACGGAACGCATGGTAGTATGTACACTATCAAAACGCTTTATCGCTTCCCACCTCATATAAAACAGTAACGGTCGCTAAATTCATACCACATGCTGATTAACAGCATCAGTTATTTGTGTGATATGAAATGAGTATGAAGATTTAAGCTAAACGATGGTCCCTTTATTTCTAGCATTTTTAAATATTTTTCTTAATGGCTAGATGATTGTTCGTCTAATCTCTTTGGTAAATTCTATTTTGAGTAGTCGTTTTGTTTTTCTTTTATTTTTTGAATTAGGAATTTTTATTATTGTTTCTTTATTCAAAGTCCCCGTATTTTCTGTTATAATGTTTTGGTTTTCGTCGTATTCCTATCGGTGTAAGGTTCTGGTTGGCGCTGACTGCTCGACAGGATGGCCGCCGGTCACCACCGAGGATCTCTTTCGGCCCTTGGTATTGATAAGGTATTATCACCCCTATTCATACAACAGTCAGGTTCAATTTCATTTATTCATTTAGTTTGCCATAGTCCATAATTTTTTTGTTTGCCGCTAACGTAGCGCTGCTAGTTGAATGGATTGTTTAGTTTTTTGTGTATGATGTACATATGTTAAGGATGAGTTATCGGTCCGCAGTTTTCGCAAGCTCTTTGCTGAGTCTGATATCGCCGTGGGGGGGTTCTCGCGTCGTCAGCTGGGTCGCTCCGGCCCCGCCGCGGCCGCCACCGCCCCCGCGTAGACACTCCGACCCCATACACCACACACACACCCAACAGCCACACCAGCCCCTCCAGACCCGGATGCCATACGCCCCCAACCAACCGCGCGACCTCCGGCACGAGCTGCTGCAACTGGCGCTAGGGAATAACGAAGTCGACACCTGGCTAGGCACCAACGACGCTAAGGACTACGAAGTGGACTTCAGATTCGAACACGACGTACCACTACAGAGGTCCATCTCGCTGGATCGCGGCGTCGATATATTCAATTATCTTCAGACGCTGTCTGATACTGGGCTGTCGGATTCCTATTGGTCGCTGGATTCGGATGTGGGGCCGAGCCTGCGTTTGGAACAATACAGGAGCTTCGAGGATGTCCAGGCTCCTCCAGTGAGGATGAGGAGCCGGCATGTCTCGTTGGACATCACGAATTCCTTTGGAAACTTAACGCCGCTCGTGCTGAAGGGTACATATAAAGGCATCGAGGAAGAAAGTGGGATGTTGACACCTCAGATAAGGAAGCTCCAAAAGACTTACTCCTTCAAGAACTTCGATGAGTACAAGGATGAAAAGAATGAGGAAGATAATTCTGATAGAGTTGAAACGGACTACAAGGGCGGTATAGAGTTCAGGGCGCCTGTCTACAGAAGCAACAATAGTGAGAAAGAGAAAGAAGATGAGAAATTTACGCGTCAGAGAAGATTCGGCGTCACTCAGAGCCCATGGCAGGATAACCCGATACAGAACTTGAGAAAAGAAGTCCTCAAATATAAGTTAACCCATTTCAAGAGTTGCGATGACCTCTATAGCAAAGGTCGAACGAAATCGACGGAGGCTATCAATGATATACCTTTCAATAGTTTGAAGAGCAATCATAAAATTAAATATAAAAGCGGCGACGCGTTATCTGAAATAAGGAAACTGAAAAGGAATGTTTCTTTCCGCGTAGATTTGAATCAAGAGTTCAGTCTGCCTAATGTTATATTAAATAATGACAGCGACGATAGTGTTGCTAGTATACAAGATAATTCGGATACATTAGTTAGTAGAACTTGTGATTGTAGTATCTGTGGCGAAGATGAGGTTAAAGTCGAGAATTCATTGCTGAGCAAAAATTTACGTAAGATATTCATGAAGTTGGTCTCTTACAGGCATTACGGTAAAAGATTTTCTTGTTTCGATGACAACGAAAGCGAAATGTATAGCTGCGTTATAAATGTATTGAAATTTTTGCTCGGCTTATGGTTGAGGCATTTGGATCATAAACAACATAACCTGTGTGGGTAGAAGTGGGTGTGCTAGTTATAGATTTTTTTTTTTATATAGAAAATAAAATTTCTAGGTTGCAGTAACAAATTTAATCGTGGTGTTATGTAATAGTTATATGATGTATTAGATATAGTCGTTACAATTTTAACAAACATACCACTGACACATTTAAAATAGCACAATTTGAAACTTGGACTCTGTAATCATTGAAATTGCCTTGTCTGTTTTTTTTTTAATTTTATCTATTAAGTGAATTATCGAAATTATTTATTCCAATTTTAAAAATGTGACAGATGTTAATAATATAATACGAAAAAAAAGTTTAATTGTTGTTTGGTGTTTATGTTATTTTATTTATAATTTATATTAATTTATTTAACGGATGCTCTGTAACCAATTGTGACCAATATATGTATAGGGCTGTGTATGTGAGTCATACGTTAAGTGTTGCGGTGTTTAAGATTACATTGTAAGAGTAAATAAGTTTCGTTTTGCTTATAAAAAAAAATATTAAATCGCTAGATTCGTGTTCTTGAATTAAAAGAAAATCGAAATATGCATAATGAAACTTTTTTTTGTATAATTATTCCTGTTTATTATTGTAATAAGTATATATCCAGTGTTCATTTATTTTGCTAATAATGTTTTATCTTGTGGTGCGGTATGGTGTTTTTATTTTATTATAAGTTTTAGTTTGTAAATCTCTTTCAGATGGCTCGTTCTGCTGATCAAATTCAAAGGAACGCCAACATTGAATGTTATCGACGATTTTTAACCTAGATCAGTTTTTTCAATTTTAAGTCTTTTCTAAATGCCGCTCGTTTTTTATTTTTTTCATTTCTATCAAACAATTTACATATTTATCAAATTTTCTTTTGCCAAACATATCGTTAATTAGGCCTTTATGATACGGATGTTTCAAATAATCGTTATGATAAACAAGTAACGTAGAATATGCCCTAGTATATTTAATACGTAGAAAGCAATAATACTACTAAACCTACCACGACTAGACAACACTAAACCACTAATATTATGTGATAGATTTTTGATTGCAAATTTACATTTTCTAGTTGATATATATACAAAATAAATGTTCAACTGTGCCTCTGTTCGAATCACGTGATTAATTAAGTTATTAGGGCTTTGTCATAGAGTAAGAGTATAATCATTCCTTAGGCTTTTTCATAGGTATTTGTATCGCCTCCAATATTATTTTTTCACCTGCAGTATCGTTCAGGTCTGAGCGAGACAGCACGCTTTTTTCTTGGGTGTGAGCGAGATAGCATATCCCACTTTCGCATTTATTCACATGTAAGTTTTATTTAATCTATCGCTTTCTTTTGTCTCCTATGTGAGCGAGACAAAATATTCTATAACATCTTTGAGTGAGATAGCATATCCACTCACACAGATAAAAGGCAACACTACAAATAAAAATTGCTCTTAAATACAGGATTCCTTTCAATATGGCCGGTACACTAGCTATGAAAACGTCAAATTTGATTTGTCACTACGATGACAGGTGTCATTATATTAAAAAATGCTAGTCACAGTACTATTTGTTATAAGCTGTATAAACGGGGGAATATTACTCGTGTACGAATTTCAAAGGAATAATATAAAGCAGTATTATCACGGTAATATTCCCTTCATTATATGAGACGATTATTTGGTTTTCTGGTGACACCTCATCCTTCATCCGTTCACGTCTTGTGAGTTGCGTCGATGGAAATTAACTTTAAGACAATTAATTGTTACGATACGTATATAAAATTTATTAGTTGACGGTGTCAAATTAAAGATATGTTAATGTTAAGTTTAATGTGACTTTTATTTCTTCACCTTAAGAATGATTTAATTATAGAAGCCGATATTTTTATTTGTGTAACAATTAATAACCAATCTTTCTTCAATAAATAAGCGTAATAATTGCTGAACGTAGCCCTCTCCTTAAATGCGCCTAGTCTCCCAATCTTTTGGCAGGATGCATTCAACCGTTACCTAGGTATATCTTTTAATTAAAAAGTTAATGTATACGTATGATATTTCTTCATAATAAAAGTTGATTATACTTGTAAGTAGTTTGAAAAGCGAGCTAATACTATTGAATCAATTGTCTATGGAATCTTAAAAAATATTAAGTCTAATATAGTATACGCAATAAACATATATTCAAAGCGTCGCTTTTAAACCCAAATACGATAACTATTTAGCAACGATGGTGTTATTCAATCTACCACAGGTATAATTTTTTTTCTCCGTTTCCCCAATCACAGCTTAAAGAAAGAAGAGTCCTACAACTACACGTATAAGATATTACTAAATTTGTTTTATTTCATACATGTCAAGTATAAATAAAAATTCATTCAAAAAATGACAATAAATAGATTAGTGACTAATAATTACGAAAAAAATAATATCATTCCTATAAAATTAAAAATATATAAAAAATATATTTTTTTATCGTTTATTGTACAGTGCGTTGTTACTTAAGAATCCCTGAATGAGATAGAATGAAATACAATTGCCTTATAATGTGATATGACATGTTTTGTTTTTATATTTTTTTATTAATCTATTTATATTACAATATATTTCTTGAAAGCAATATTTACAAAAAACTACTTAAATTATTTAGCTATTTTTAGCCTCTCAAATGATGGTGTTTTTAACGTCACTACAAAACGTTGACACAGATAACAAAGATTTTGTGATTCTCATTAAATAGACAAGAATATTATTTTTTTAATTTATGCTATGACTTCATACACTGAAATTGAATCGTTAAAAATATCTGTGAATGTGTGACTAGTGTCATTATATTAAGAAATGTGTTCATGTTAAATAACATAATTAATCCATTATATAAATATTTAACATAGTTTTGGCAACCAAAATAGATTATTATAAATAATTCGTAAAAGAAAGCACCTAATTAGAGAACTAGAAATGAATTCCATTTGAATAGATATCGTTAGTATCAATTAAAATACTTTAAAAATAAAAGTCCTTATCATTGGTATTTGATATTAACATAAATATCGCAAAAAAACCAAGTATCTGCAATTTCTACTGACTTCCTTACTACGTATCGAATGTTAAGTTGTTGATATTTTTGAGGTTGAAATTTAATATAATTTATGGACGAGCATATTTGCTAATGATGTAGAAATGGGATTGCAAAGGCATTGCTCAAACATGTCAACGTTACATTTTTGTGGTATTATAAGAATTTAAAATAATTTCGTAAGCAATTGTCATTAGCATATTAGCAGTGATGTGGTAAATATCAAATGGTTTTATTGCTTAAAATTATTAGGAATTAGCTAAATGTATTTCATAGTTATCATGCAATTTGGATGTCGAATTGAAATCTCTAGTCATCCATTTAAACAGGCTGCTATTGAAACAACAATATGAACACAAAAACCTATTTTTTTTAAAGAAGGATGTTTCTCAATTGTCAAAGTTAGCGGTATATAAATTAATTTCATACGGTTAACAGTTAATATTTCGTACGGGTCATAGGTTTGTAAAAAATATTAAATTATCGGACTACAAAAACCATTACGTCGCTCATCATATCGGAATTTCTTATCATACGCCTTTTACTGAACCGGTCTCGTTGAGTTTATAACAGGTTGCGACCCACATCCACTAACTTTCTTTATATCCAAAAACTGTTTACAACTTGTCAGTTTGAATAATTTTGACGGAACTGGTTAAATCCGTTACACGTTTAAATGTTTGTCAGAGATGTCAATGTGTCAAGTGTAGACGAAGAATAGGAGTCACTTGCGTTTTTTTATGAACAGGTTAAGTGGTCACAACTCGAGGCACTGCAGCGGATTTTATATCTATATTATTAGCAGTTTTTAATGTATTAAGAAAGTAATACGTGTGAAAGAAAGCTCTACAGTTAAAGGTGAGAAAAGTATATTTTTCTTTCTATCCTCAAAAAAAAAAAAACAATTACTATTCAAATTATTCTTCTCAACATGTAAATAGAATTTTAATATGATTTTATTAATGTAATGACGATGTAAAAATTTATACTTATATAAGTATGTATGTGTTATGCAATTAAAAATTATTGTTCATAACTGCAGTCAGTCAAAAGTTTTAAACGAGATTTTCCAGATGCCTGTGTACTATGTTACGTAGTGTCATATATGTGGGACATTTTTTATATAAAAGATCATGTTTTTCCTATTACGTATGGGCATGAAACACTTAACCAACTAATAATTTAACGGTGTTCGAAGAAAATATGTTACTTTCGGATTCTTTGGATATTTCACTTCATGTCCAAGAAAATCTTCAATCAAATCATGATAACTTTGAAATAAAATGATCAAGTTTAAATGTGGGTACATTCTAACTAGTCATTATTAACGATGACAATCATAGATTGAAGGCTTATTTATTTTATACTTCTACTTTATGAAAAAACAATATCTGGATTTACTTACGTAGGTATGTATAGTATTAGTGGATGAATATTATTGCTGTACTGTTTAACACTGGATCACTTACGTAAATGACACTAGATTCAACAAAACAACACAATATTTTGTATCTCAATAAAACTGGTGTATTTTATATTATCTAAACATTAAAAGAAATACATAAACTTTCACAAGAACCATAGACATGGCGAAAATTGTTACGGCTCGAAGGTTCTAACATAAAAATATGAATATCATGCGTGTTTCAAATAACATGCATATTAAGTATTAATCGTGCAGTTATTCAATTTTCTATTCGACTATCGGGACACGCGCAAATGTTTTGTAATAACCGGACGAGAGAAACATTAATATTTTTGCAATTTCTTCAATGCCATTCTCTTATAGATCTGTTCCTTAAGAAATCATCCCCAGATGTGGGTAGATCACACTAAAGTCGTTGTGTAAGATAGGCTTAAAATAAATTATTATTATTATTGTGGTAATTTATGATTATTTAGAAATCATTAATTATATCCTGACTAGGTACATCCTCGCATGAACGTG